CGGGTGCTCGAAGGCCTCCCTCTGTCCTCCGTGCACCTGCTGTCCCCGCCCCTCTGAGGAGCTGGTACATGCCCGGGGGTGGGGATGGGGTCGCCATGGCTCCTCCTCCCCCTCCCTAGAACCCTTGTCCTGCTCCCCTAACGCCAGGTCCTGATACATCAGCGCACCCACCTTCAAAGCCAGGCTGATGCCAGGTCAAAAGGCGGGGTAGTGTCCGGGGGTGGGGGGGTGCGCTGGTGTAGGGGCAGCTGCAGCCTCTGCACCCTGCCTCCGGGGCTGTTCTATTGGGGACCTCGTCCCCCGATTGTGAACAGGGTGATAGGGGGTCCCCGGGGCCTCTCAGCCTCCTGCCCTCGGGCTGCCTGTCTCATTCCATGCGTGGCTCCCCGTGCCTCGGGCTGTTCTGAGCAGGAGGCAGGAATGGCCGAGTGGGTGTACCCCATGGTGCCTGTGACCCCTTTCAGACAGAGAAGGTGTCCCAAGGGGCTCGGCCTCACACAGGCTCCTGTCACAGGCTCCCGACCGTGTGAGCCCGAGGATGACCGCCCTGGCTGTCCTATGCCCAGTGACCCCAAGAAGTGACAGCCCCCCTCCCTCCCCCGCAGCTCTGTCAGACCCTGTGGCGAAGGAGAGCTGCATGCTGAACCTGCTGCTGTCGCTCCCCGAGGCCAACCTGCTGACCTTCCTCTTCCTCCTGGACCACCTGAAGAGGTACCCCCAGCTCTGCCTCGGGGGAGCGCTTTCTGCACCCGCGGGCTCCCCTCAGACTCCTTGGCACCGGGGGTCACTCACCCACTCTGGGCATTAGAGCCACGGCCACCTTCTTCCCTCTCACCACCGCCTCCTCTGCACCCGGCCTTAACGTGAGGTGCTTTGCCTGGCCAGCGTGGCGCAGTGGATAGAGCATCGACCTATGAACCAGGAGGTCACGGTTCGATTCCTGGTCAGGGCACATGCCTGGGTCGCAGGCTCCGTCCCCAGTGGGGGGCGTGCAGGAGGCAGCTAATCGATGATTCTCTCTCATCATGGATGTTTCTCTCTCTCCCTCTCCCTTCCTCTCTGACACTAATAAAATATATTTGGGGGGAAAATAAAAAAAAGAGTGAAATGCTTGGACCCCACCCACCCTGTCCCAGCCAAGGTCATGGCCCAGGGTTGACCTCAGGTCCTCTCCGTCTAGACCCAGGAGCACGAGGGTGGCTCTGCCTCCAGCACAGCCAGGGGCGGTTAGCTGTGCTATGGAGCCGGCCCAAGGCAGAGGGGGTGGCTGGCACCCATCACCTCGCTCCCTGAGGACTCTGGGGTGGCCCGGCCCCCGGGTCTCCCCTCTGTCCTGAAGGCGGCATCCCAACAGTACCCTGTGCTTCGGCCTCTCACAGGGTAGCTGAGAAGGAGACGGTGAACAAGATGTCCCTGCACAACCTCGCCACGGTCTTCGGCCCCACGCTGCTGCGGCCCTCGGAGAAGGAGAGCAAGCTCCCCGCCACCCCCGGCCAGCCCATCTCCATGACTGACAGCTGGTCCCTGGAGGTCATGTCCCAGGTACGAGCGGACGGGCACCAGCCCATGGCACCCAGCCTCACCCAGGTGTGGCCTCTGCCTGCTCCCCCCAGAGTCCTGCCAGGCGCCACTCAAATTGTACAGGGGAGCCCTAGCCCGTTTGGGTAAGCGGAAAGCGGATAGAGCATCAGCCTGGAGACTGAAGGGTCCTGGGTTCGATTCCAGTCAAGGGCACATGTCCAGGTTTCAGGCTCGATCCCCAATAGGGGGTGTGCAGGAGGCAGCCGATCTATGATTCTCTCTCATTCATTTTTCTGTCCCTCTCCTTTCCTCTCTGAAATCAATGCAAATATATATAATTTTTAAATTGTACAGAGGAGGTGGCCAAGGGGGACCCGCCTAGGGAGGCCTCTTCCCTTTGCACCTTCCTGGGCTTCTCGGGGTGGTCCTTCAGGGGCACCCCGGTGTCTTGCTGTGAGGGGTTCATGGCCCCTTAGGAGCCCTCCGCACCCCCAGCCGGCCTCAGGGCCTCAGTGACCGCGCCCCGGGCTTTGGTCGGGAGGACCTCCCGCCTGCGCTGTGAGCGCCCCTCTGAGCTGCCCCCGTCCCCCTGCTGTGCCCGGCAGGTCCAGGTGCTGCTGTACTTCCTGCAGCTGGAGGCCATCCCTGCTCCCGACAGCAAGCGACAGAGCGTCCTGTTCTCCACGGAAGTCTAACGGCCCGACTCCGTCTCCGAGAAGCCGGCAGAACGGCCTGGGACGCTCCCGGCGAGACAGGCCGCCACGGAGCAGGAACCGCATCTTCTTGAGGCGTCCTCGGGCCGCCCCCCGAGGAAAAAAAAAAAAGGAGCTCCCCGCTGGCCTCCGACGCTGGCTTCCCGCCACCAGAGGGTGCCCCAAAGCCAGCACGCATGGCTCCGAGTGCAGGCCTGGTCCCCGAGACCAGGCGAAAGGAGTGGGGTTGTTCGTTTGTTTTTTTATGAACTTTTCAGAGTTTCCAAGATTTCTACTGGATCCCTTGTCAAGATGCACCCTCTCCGGGGAGAGGGGGACACGAGCAGCTTCCCTCACGGTCGTGTCTTGAAGAAACATTGCTGCTGCTTCGCACCGTGGGGGCCCCAGCCCGGCCCCGCGTGGGTGGGGGCGCGTGGGTTTCCCTGACTTAAAACGTTCGACTCCTGTGTGCAACAGGGCGTGCAAAGCTAGGTCAACACTGTGTAGCGTCGGACCCCTTCCGCCTCCTTCCTCGCTCCTCTCGCTTTCTAGAAGGATCTCCGTGCAGAAAGGGGTCTTTTTCCTGTCCTGTCCTGCGGCGTTGTGTTTGCAGATCACGTGCCCCTTGGAAGGCAGCCGCCCGTGTAACACCAGGACCGGCCGCCAGGGGGCGGGAGGCCCAGGCCGCGCACTTTATGGCTCCTCTGCAGGGAGAGTGACCCCTGCCCACCGGCCCGCCCAGCCCAGCCGGGCACACGCTGTCCTCTGCAGCTGACAGAGGC